GTCAGGAGGATGTTAAAAACGTAAATAAAAGTTTGGAAGGAAATAGAAAGAAGATTTTTTTAATATTGTTAAATAAAATTAATTTTCATAATATCAAATTTCATTTTTGTTTTAATTAAATCAAAGTCAGTTTCAGGTGTGCCGCTTTAGAATGCCAGAATATTGAACACATTAACAAAACCATTGAAAAACCTTTTTACAGCGGGGCCTCTGATAATCAAATCCTCAAAGCAGAAGACTGACCTCTAGTGTTTTAAGATGATTTTACACACCTGAATCCTGAGTCCTCAGTCCCTTTACAAACAGTAAAAAAACAACATCCATGAATGATTTGAAATTTAAACTTATTGGTTTGCCCTGTAATTTATTACTGGCCAGTGTGTGTGCTGTTTTTTTCTATCCACTTTGGCATGCAAAAACCAATAAATTAACTCATCTGACCTATTTTAGGTTGTTGTTGTTTTTTTAGTTTCTTCTTCTTCTTCTTGACCCAAAGCTATTGTTATAAAATAACACTATACAGATTTCAAAAAGACCTTGCTGATCAAAACATCACTAAAATAAAACCTGACATGATTCAGCAGTGTCCAAAACTTTTGAATCCCCTTCAGTTAATTTATTTATGATTTCCATCTAAGCAACCATAAATTTTGTAAAGGATTTTTGTAGCAATACATAAAACAGCACCAGATGAGTACCWGGTACTTACATGATGCATCTGGTACGTCCGGGCTACTAGGGTAACACAACCAAGTTACTGTACTTGTCTAGATTGTACCAGGAATGCATCATAAGTATCACGTACGTCACCAGTTACAAAACCAGTAGGTACCTGGTGCATACCAGGAACATACCCAGAATGTACCTACAGTATGTACCAAGAACTTCATTTTATTTCCTTTAACTTTAAAATAACAAAAAAAGAAAGAAAGAAAATACTCCAAAACAGGAGCAAGTGTTTATGGATGAGGTCTCCAGTTCTTTCATTAAATGTTTTTATTGAAACTGGACAGTTTGTGTTTCAGCTGGAGAGACCAGTGTAGGGGAAAATGTCTCTTTACCCAGCTCAGTACGCACACGTGGAACGCTGTATGATGAAAGCCTGAGAATGAAGGCTGTGGTGCTGTTTACAAGTCATAGGCAAGTATGATTGAACCAGACAGAGCAAGGTTTGTTAATAAATTTACCCAGAATGTACTCAGTATGTACCAAGTACTTATCCAGAATGTACCCAGTATATGCCAGGTACTTATCCAGAATGTACCCAGTATGTGCCAGGTACTTATCCAGAATGCACCCAATATGTACCAAGAACTTAACCAGAAGGTACTCAGTACGTACCAGAAACCTATCCATAATGTTTCCAGCAAGTACCAGGACTCTGGAAGATACCTAGTATGTACCAGGTACTTATCCAGAATGCACCAAGGATGTACCAAGAACATTTTAGAAGGTACTCAGTATGTACCACGAACTTATCCAGAAAGTGCCCAGGACGTACCAGAAACCTATCCATAATGTTTCCAGCAAGTACCAGGACTCTATCTGGAAGATACCTAGTATGTACCAGGTACTTATCCAGAATGCACCAAGGATGTACCAAGAACATTTTAGAAGGTACTCAGTATGTACCACGAACTTATCCAGAAAGTGCCCAGGA